AACAACAACAACAACATGCTATAAACAGTAATGTTCCAAATTTAAGAGACAGAGGATTGATCAGTTATTCCATTAGGGTAATCTCAGGTATCATTAGCTATCCTTTGTTTTGATTTAGAGGCACAAGAGAACTGACACCCCAGTTGGCTAATGCATCTGCCACATGACATGGAGTCACCCAGAAGTGGTAAGAAAATGACAAAATCTCTTCATCCTATATTGGTAAGTAAGTTTGGACTTTCTCTAAATTTTTATTTTCAGAATTCTCTCTCTCTTGGTTTTGATTTCACAAAATTCCCAGCATATATTTCTATGGATACTCTACTGGAGATACTCTATTGGAGTATCATTATGATCACATAATAAATGTAATGCAATGATTGACACCATGCAGTTGAGCATAAAACTTGTAGGGTCATAGCTAATGTGCTGTATTTTCAAAGTGACATATCCAAGGTAAGATACTTTTCAAATAAACAATCATGATTTAATTTTGACAAAATGTTCACTATTGTATCATGCTTTAAATCTACTCCTGAAATACATATTTTAAGTGGGTACGTACCACCAGGTTTCCAATCACCATGACCATCATGAAGACAGTAAGGCACATGGCTTGGCCAGCAACCTCCATACAGTCCCACATGGTCTCTATCCACTCCCCACACAGCACACGAAACACAATCAGGAAGGAGTGAAAGAAGTCATTCATGTGCCAGCGTGGAAGTTTACAATCACTGGCAATCTTGCAGACGCAGTCTTTGTAGCTCTTACCAAATAGCTGCATGCCAACCACGGCAAAAATGAAGACAATAATGGCCAACACTAGGGTTAGATTTCCCAAAGCCCCCACTGAATTGCCAATGATCTTTATTAGCATATTTAAGGTTGGCCATGATTTTGCCAGTTTGAATACTCGGAGCTGGAAAATAAAGAATTAATATGAATTATTATGATCTTTAAAAGCATTACATATATTAAGGTTTACCAAGAAAATGATTAAATTAAATCTCTAAGAATAGCTGCCTTGCCCTTGCATCCTCTTCAACCATGGCTAATTTTTCTGTATTCTCCTAGGACAATTCTACATTTTACCCATGTAGATCATTTTCTCTGGGAGTGATTCTTTTATGATTCTTTGGGATACACCCATTCTTGTTTTTTGACAGTGGTTCTAAGGCATATCAGGCCTGACACTACAATGTTAACATCTGAATCAAAATAATCTCTGCTGAATGATATTCATTTACCACTAGTATGCTAACTAAGGTCATATTGAGTCTGTTATAATGAGAGAAAAATGTATACTACTCATTGATGCTTTGGGGGGTGGGCATTAATATAGCTAGATGCTTTGGTACCAATTAACCTGGAATATTTCCCATGATTCTATAATTCTTTCCCAATTTTCAAGGACACATACATGAATTCCTGGGCATGTTTAGTTATTTTGAAGAATTTCTCTCTTTTGATTTTTGGAAGGCACTTTTCTTTTTCCCCAGAGATAGAATCACGGAAAGTTTCTGAATGGACATCTTGTATTAGCCTGTCATTCACTGCTACAAAGGGATGTGTATATTTTTAAGTAACTATTAAAATGTGATGCATTTTCATTAATAATACTTACATCTGGAAATATTAACTGCAATAGTCTCTAAAATAATTATTCAAAATAGCAACTAAGTAATATATTAAACTATGTGATTAAATATTACTATTTTCTAATTAATTAGGAATAATTTCTTCTGTTACATACAGTTTCTGACAATGTCAACTTTACACAAAAAGTTAAAATGTTAAGGGTTATGTAGTAAAATATATGACAGTATTATGTAAGAACTCTGATTTTTGAAAGGTTTCTGTTGTTTGTTTTGTCTTTTACCAGTCTGAATGAACGGAGAACTGATAATCCTTCCACATTGGCGAGGCCAAGTTCTACCAGGCTGAGTGTCACAATGAAACCATCGAAGATATTCCAGCCTTCTTGGAAATAATAGTAAGGATCCATAGCAATAATTTTCAGAAACATTTCTGCTGTAAAGATTCCAGTAAAGACCTAAAATCAAAACAAAATTACGCTAATTCTATCAGGTGATGATAGGGGAGAATGACAAAATATTTGTTCTTAGAAAAACGTTTATGTTAGTTTCTCTCATAGTGATTCTATTACTAACTTCCATTTGTATAGTTATATTTATATATGTATTATATATTGTATATATTTATATATATTTTATATATTTATATTTGGGAGTTCTGGTAGCATTAGTGCCTAAGGCACTTGACTGCTAACCAGAAGGCTGGCAGTTCAAACTCACCAGCTACTCTTTGGAAGTAAGATGGGGCAATCTACTTCCATAGTGATACTGCCTTGGAAACCCGAGGAGGGGTCGCTATGAGTCGGGGCTGACTCGACGGCACATAACAACAACAACATATTTATATTTATCTATGTATTATATATGTATATTTATAGTTGAAGAAAGGCTCTCAAGTGTATTATCCATTTTATCCTCACAGAAGCTCTATTCAGTGGATAATTCAAGTAAACTATTATAATTATTACTTTAGAGATGAAAAATGAAGGTCTTCAGATGATTGAAATGGTTTGCCCAGTATCGTGCAACTAGAAAATTGTAAGACTAGGATTTGAATGCAAATCTTCTATTTTTCACTAGTGTTCTTTCATTACATCAAATTCTCCATACTTCATACTGTTCAGTTACTAACAAAATTGTGTCCATGAAGTTTTATTTATCTGTAATCATATTCCCATTTCCCTCAAATCAAGTAAGAGTTATTATAAATGAAAATGATCATTGATTCTTATAATATATGCATACTTCCTGTTATTATTCACCATGCACATGGGGAAAAATGCTTTTAATAGTTTAAATAGAAGAGTTTTAAAAGCACTGAGAAATGTTACACTTGTTTTTGTCATTTACCCAAATATATCCTAAACTTCAAAACAAATTTTATGGAAAATGCACACATAACTGTAAAGACCGCTTGCTTTCAACAAATAAAGAAAATGAATATTCCTAAATTGAGTCAACTGACAAACATTGTAATGATTTATGATTTTGAAGCAGAAAAAGGAAAGAATCAAGTAGCAATCATCACCAAAAACAGTCTTCTTAATCATATAATGCACAAAATGTGCTGGAAGTTTTCAATATTTCATGGTTTTGATACAGATATATGTATAAAATAATACATGTTTACCTAGCTCCTGAAAATGGAAAACCTGAAGACATTTTTGAGTTGTTAAATTAATTATTGTTTACAATGATGATGACTAAGTAGAATAAAATAATCCTAGTTATTTTAGTTTAGCTTTCTACTTGTGAAACAGTGATAATATCACTTGAAAAATTATGTCCTTAAGCTATGAACTGTTTCTGCAGCTTGTAAAAGTTGTAAATATCACTACAGCATTTTTATCTAGTACTGTCTGCCTATTTCTATTGTTCTTTTTCTCAGTTCTGCTTTGGCTTTAGTTGCTATTTTTGGCAAAAGGTAGGGTCAGACCAGCTGGATAACATTCTCATCTTTTGTGAAGCAGATGATAGAAAGGGTGACTAAAAGAATTCAATAAGCTATTAAATAGAAACAATTTCTCAAGCAGAAAGTTTGAAGACAGAACACATTTACCTTCCAATATGCTTACCAAGTTTCCTACTGTAAGCACATTGTTGAAATGTTCCGTCATTGGATAGTGTTCCATGGCCATGAAAAGAGTATTTAAGACAATACAGATGGTGATGGCCAGATCAACGAATGGGTCCATCACGACCAGGTTGACAATGTGTTTCACTTTTAACCAATATGGTGAACAGTCCCAGATTAGGAATATGTTGGAAAATTTATACCAACAGGGAGGGCATTTCTGCCTGGATTCTTCAAGTTCTAGATTTAAAAAAAAAAAAAAAAAAGAGCAAGCAACCCTATTTATGCACACCTATATTTATTTATTTCAAATACACTAGATTTATTTTCAGTAATCAACACATTTTAATTTGCTACAAAGAGTCAATCTTCTTTGTACTTCATAAAAAACTATCTTCTTCATATTCTTATTACCAACATTATTTAATACACATAAAGTAGAGGCAGCAAAGAATAGTTTTTTTTTTTCCTCTCATGCATTGACATTGTGGCTCAATATAGACAGTCCTTCAGTTATGAACGTCTGCCTTATGGAAAACTTGTACTTACCCTTTCATGTTACGTAAATTTGCCAACACTTTGAAATGATTGGACCAACCCAATAAATTTCTCATCACAATCACCTTCATTTGTTGCATGTGCAGCTTTTAAATCATTCAAAAGATTTTGGCCGTTTCTTGCACTAAAGAAAGGCTAAATAACAACTGTATGCACCTGTTCTGACTTAAAAATTCAACTTAAAGACTTATTTAGATTTAAAAACACACTTAGGAACAGAGCTCATTTGTTACCCAGGCACTGTCGGTACTTTGCCTTAAATGATGTGAGTGATCTTTTAATGAAGTGCCAATAAGAACACAGTTTGGGTAATATAGATACTATATGTGACCCTGCTGGTGTAGTGGATAAGGCATTTGGCTGCTAACTAGAAGGTCCACTGTTCAAACCCACCAGCTGCTCTGTAGGAGGAAGATGAGGTCATCTACTTCTCTAAAGATTTTCAGCCTTGAAAACCCAATGGGGGTCGCTTTGAGTTGTAATTGACTTGATAGCAGTGGGTTTGCCTTGGTTTGGGTTTATACATGAACCGATGTTAACGTCTGGCTATGTCATCAGACTCAGGTTCTACGTGATGGAATAGGGATCACTATACACTAAGAATCATCTTTTAAATGTGTTTTTATTTTTCGAAGATGACTTACTTCCGTTACTTCTTGAAATTGAGAGTATGTTTTTTTTTACTTTAAAAAAATTTTATTACCAATATGGCAGCACTGAGGATGAGAAAGACATAGAGAGGTACATGGGAGGTACAGACAACAAATATGAACCCTTTTGCACATACAGTACTGCGTTGTCAGTGAAGGCAAACATGGGTATACGGATGGATAGATGGGTGGACAGGCTAAATGATTAGGTATGTCTATGAAATGTGGAGTGTATCCAAGAAC